ACCCCCACTTTTATTACCATTACCCCTTTCTCTTTCCTACTTTTTCATTTACCCACTACTCATTACACCTTTTTACACTACCCCTACTACTTTACTCTTAAAACCCGTGCCAAAGCCTAAGGAGACTAATAAAAAAGAACGGAGGGAGTATTATTCTTCTACCTTTTCTTCTATTTCTTTTTCCTTTTCTTCTTTTTAATACTTATCCATTCTCTACTAAGGTGAACATGTATTTTTACAACACCAAGTAGACCGGGTTTAAATTCTTGACAAATGTACTACGTATAATAATTAGATCTACAAATCTCTTCAATTAATATTTCTGAAAAGCAAGAGAGATTTCCTAGATGTTTACAAATCAATCTTGAAGTTGAATGTATGTATATGTACTGCTGGGAGATGCTTTTTCGTTTGAGGTGTATTTTTTAGGGTCTAAGTGGTTAAGGTATATTCCAAATAAGAAACTAAATACTAGTACATTAAAATGGTCGAGTTAAGCGTAAGTTACTTGTTTATCGGGAGTTAACCGGCTAAAATGCAAATTGATCATTTTTTTGTGTTGGGGGCTCAATTGATTGATTTTATAGTACGAGGGTTCAATTGACATTTTGGATATAGTACGGGGACCTATTTGACAGTTTTCCTCGTATATCCAAATAGTCAATTAAACCCTTGATAAGTTCGTAGCTATTAGGTGTCATAAGTCTTAATTTTAACTCAAGTTATGTTTACCAAGCGTTGGTTCGAGTTTTTGTATTTTTGGAGTTAATATCAGATTATTAGAGTTCGGCACCGGCGCTTGAGAAGCAATCAAGAAGAGTTGATGAGCATTCAAGAGTGATTTGAGAGGTTTGGAGATCTGCGGGAGGTTCACGACGATGTTTTGATGAAGAAAGAGCCTTTGGATCGATCACGGCGCATTCGGGAGCGTTTGAAACAAGAAATCGAAGAATTTGGCATCATTTGAGGCACGCACGGTCGTGCCTAGCATCTAGGCACGATGTGCGAGCGTGATGGAGCGCCCCAACGAAGAAACAGTGGTGTGCCTTGTAGGCACGCCGTGCATGCAGAAGGAACGAAGACCGAGCTATTGGAGGTCAGGCACGGTCGTGCCTACCAGGGAGGCACTTCGTGCCTGGCCATAATGCCCGTGATGTGCTCCGGAGGCACGGTCGCCAGGCACGCCGTGCCTAGCGCCTTGTCTATGCCGAATTTTCCCAGTTCAGCCCGAATTCAGCTGTTTTCTATAAATAAGGTCTTCATACCCCTATTTTGAGATTACATAGCTTAGAGAGAGTGCCTAGCACGAAATTTAGAGAGCTTTTCAGCCTTATTCATCAGTATTTTGGGTTTCTTTGTAAGTTCCTACTTTTTAGGCTATGTTTGGCTGACATAAGTTTATAGCTTTTGGCTTTTGAACTATTTAAAAAGTCTATATATAAAAGTTGTTAGTTGTTTGTGTGGCACGCCAATTTTTAAGAGCTTTTCAAAAAATAAAAGCTCTTTTTTGAGATGCTACAGGTAGTAGCATCTGAGAAAAATCTGTGACTTTTAGCTTTAATAAATCCTAACAGCATGTATGCCAAACAGAACTAAATCAAACAGTCAGCTTTTTACCAAACAACTACCACCTTTTACTTTTAAGATCTTTTCAGTCATTAAAAGCTAACAGTTACTAAAAAGCTCACAAAAAGATCTTTTCAGCTAATTGTACCAAACATAGCCTTAATTAATGACAATTAATTCTGTTCATCCCAATTCTGTTGATTCTTCAATTATGAGTTGTGAATAGTTTTAATTAGAGATTTTGGATTGATGAGGGGGTTAATTATGATGTATGGCTAAATTCATGATGGATTAATTGCATGAATGATGTTTAATTTGTGTTTGAAGGATTTAATTGATATCTCTTGTAACCTAGAACTGCAGCTACGATTATAATTGCATGTAGAATAAATTAAGAGAGATCTAATTTATTCTAGGACACCTTCACACACACTTAATCATTCGCCAAGAGATTAGTAGCGATTAAGGAGCCGTACGCTCGCTCGTTTTGGCAATAATTTTAGATACATGTCGCATGAGATTTTAACCCGGTTCCCAAAATTATTTTAGTCTACGCCGCGAGAGCGGTTAGAACTTAGTATTGATTAGCGTTTCTCAATTAAATAATTTTAATGTGATAAGGCCTGATCAGCCAGAAATCTAATTACCCTGTTCCCTTCGTCATTTATTAGAAAGAACACCTTAGTTTAATCGTTTTATTCGCATTTTAATTTTTAAACCAATCAATCTCGCACAATCGCTTTTATTTTATTTCTTTGTAATCGCTGAATTTAATTAATACTTAATTCCCTTTTTCCATACTTGTGGAGACTATACTCATACTTACACCATTTACTACAATCTATTTTAAGTGCGAGAAAACTCACATCAACCCTCTAGCTTAGGAAACTCTCAATTAAGACCTTGAACTCTAAAAAACATTTTATTTTTTATTAGTAAAAATTAAAAAAATCAGATTTGAAGATTTAAAATTAGAAGAATTTAATAAATATCTTTCAAAAGTAGAATATATAAATAGTGTAAAACTACACTATAAGTAAATGTAACAAAGATAAAAGGATTGATTATAAACATTCACATTTGCAAAGAGGATTTGGTTAAAAAAGAATTAAATCTGATGCATAGTATACCTTATCTAATCCATTTTTCATTAAATCTTATCTGATGCATTTTTCAAAAAGTCATAGATAAAAATTATTCGAAGATACATTAGATAAGAGTTATATTGCATTAAATTGATGGTTTAAACGACCGAAATTAATTCTTATTTAACAGTTTTATTATTAGAACTCAACCATGGCAAAAAGAGTTAAAACAAAGATGTAAATCCTTGATAAATAGATTGACCATAAGTCGGGGATATAAAATGGTTAAGCTTGTATGGTCAATATCCAATAATTGAAGTGGTTAAGCTCATTCTTGGCACTCAGTGGTATATACTCCGCGTTTCCGCATATACCAATTTGTTGTTTTCTTTGGGTTGTGGAGAGGAGGACAGGGGTTAAAAAACAAAACAGAAGTATATATGAAAAATATGATGGAATGGTCGGTCACTACGTTCAGAGAAGAATAGGTCATTGTGAGGTTATTTCAGACTTTCCATGTGAACTGTGGCTCAAGTTTTCTCGAACAAGTTGGTGGATCATGGATGGCAGGAAGACGATAAATCCACAAGTGCATTTTGTAGTTTATTAATCATTTTTTATACATGAAAATCCTTATTCGCTTGTCATTTTGTTTTCGTATTTTACATTTATTTGCATTTAAATAAGGAGTACGTAGTACTCCGTATAATAAAGAGGGGTTGAATTTGGATTTGGATAACGACTACAACACCGAGGATAAAATGCTGACGTCAAACCTACACGGACGAATTAAACACTGGGCCCCACGTTTAATTGGGTTGTTATGTTCCGAAATTTATTTAACTGCCTTTCTGATTCAATTTTTAGCTGAAATTGAGTATGAATATACTAGACTTAATGAAGAAAATGTAAAAAAAAATTCATCAAAAAATTCTACTGGGAACCGTCCCAATTGGCGACTGCCGGACAGAGCCTCCTATATAAGGGGTGAATTGCTTTTAAGTTATTTCAAAGGCCTATTTGACCTTTAGCCTAAAATATTTAAGGGATAAAGACCAAAATTGACACTAAGGTTTTTAGCGAATCTCGTATTAGACACCCTTTAACGCCTCTGTTAAAGGAACCTTCCCCGTCGTTAACTCTCCACTCCAAAAGCCCCCTGCAAGCTAGTGACCCCCACACTAGCCCCTGCCCCACCCTAGTCCAACACCCTGCCCCTCCCTAGCCCCAGCCCATTTCTTGCCCTTGCCACCTCCCCAGCTCCAGATCCGAGCAGCCAAACCCCGATCCACACCTCCCTAGCCCGATCTCCGACCATCCATCCCCAGCCTCCCAAACCAACCCCAACCCGAGCCCTAGCCACAGCCCCCTCGCAACCCCCCTCTCAGCCTCGTAACCCTCGTCACCAGCCTAACGTCATCCCATCACCTATTATCGCAGCCTACAACCGCACTGTCGCCCACCTCTAACTGTCGGCGAGATGCTCCAAATCGAATGACGGTAGCTCACTCGGTGATGTCACGATTCTACGATAGTGAAGCCTGTGATGGGTAATGGGTAGGCTTTGACGCAGCAGCGGCTTTAACGGCGAGGCGGTGCGACGGTGAGGCAGTGACCCGGAGGTAATCTTCTAGGCAAGACGATCAACCTCCATTGTTCCCACCTTTAATCGGATGGGGAGTTAACGACGAGGAAGAGTTAGCGTTAAAGGGTAGTCAAAATGGACCCAAAAACTATAATTTTGTGTTTATTTGTTCTACCTAAAATTTTACTGTCTAATTTAAGATTTGCTAAAATCTTAGTGTCATTTTTTTATGTTTATCCCAATATTTAAGAGGTAAGGGTCAGATTAATACTCGAAGTTGCATAAAAAGGGTCAAATAAGTCCTTATATAGGAGGTTCTGTCTGGCCGTCGTCATTTGGGGTGGTTCCCGGAGAAAATTTTTGACGAAATTTTTTGAGTATCTTATTCATTAAGTTTAGTTTACTCATAGCAAATTTCAGCAAAAAATTCAACCGAGAAAGCATTCAAATGAATTCTTGAAGATAACTGCACAGTTAAAAACATAGTTATCTTCAAGAATTTATTTGAATGTCTTCCCGATTGAAGTTTTAGTTGAAATTTGGTATGAGTAAACTAGACTTAATGAATAAGATGCTCAAAATATTTCGTCAAAAAATTCCACCGGAAACCGTCTCAAATGGCGACGGCCGGACAGTAAGGACTTATCTGACCTTTACCAATGTGAACATGGTATATGCTCCGTAGAGACGAAGCCGAGCTAGGCTCATCTATATCTCTATTCATTTGTTTTCTTCTCCATTTTTTAATAAAAATAAGGATAAGGATTTAATAAGCAGTAAGCAATTTATGATACTAATAAGAAAAAGCAGTAACCAATGTAGTAGTTATATTAAATGCCCAAAAGATATGTTTTTTAATATCGAATTACTCTGCCAGTTCCGTAGAGACGAAACAGAGCTAGGCTCATCTATATCTCTCCCTGGAGCTACTATTCCCGTAGAAGAAGCTAATGTGTTCATTTTAATTTCCAGCGGAGATCCTAAATCCCATTCTCTTTCTTCTCTCTTCCGACCTACTATTCCCATTCTCTTGCTTCTCCGCAGCAGGTTTCATCTACTGAACTTTCTCCTGGTAAACTATTTTTTTTTTGGTATTAGGGTTTATGTTTAAATTTGTATTCGAATTTGAAATTATTGTGCTTGGATATTGTTTTTCTAGGTTCTTTGTTAATTTTTTGTTCATCTATTATTGGATTAACAAAAATAATACTAGTACAACTTAGATCCTCGTGGAAGACAACCAAGGAGACGATGGCTGGGGATCAATGCTAGAAACGCTTCCTTCATCTTTTGCTGGTTATTTGAATTCGTTTAATTTTCCTCGTGGAATTCTAAGTCATATTTCTTGTTTTCGTCTTTGTTTGTTATGATATTGTTTAAGAGATCAGTCGTTTGATGGAATTGATAGTTCACAATCTATATAGAACTACAAGGAAGATAAAAGCTTTGCTTATGGGCCCAGGTCACCATTATTTCAATAATAAGTAATTGATCCTTATAGGAAAACGGTTCATGTTCAGGTTGTGAGCTTTTCAAATTTTCGCAATTAAGGTTGGACTTAAAATCCATGAAGAATAACACACTTTTTTAAATTTGTAACTATGTTTTGAGATAATTATATTAATTCAATTGAAGTTTTGCTTAGTAGAGATAATATATGTGGCTAAGGTATTATTTTTACTAAAAATAAGGACCTTGCAGCAGAAAGTAGATTGCTTTCTCATTTTAGTCCTGGACTTCTTCTTACATTCATGAAATCTGTAGAAAGCTTTATTTCACTGATATGAATTTGGTGTTGTAGCATAATAAAAAGCTAAATTGAAAGTCGATCTCAACCATTAATCTGTATTAAGGAGAATAGGTAGCATTGCTCCAACTAGAACCCCGCCCCCACGGCCCACTTTGTATTACTATACAGGTGGTTTAGATATATTGGTTGTTTCTGGCAGCTTTCCAAATAAATTGATATTATTTGGATGTGTGGATATGTCTCACCAATTACAGTATTTTAGTTTTTATTATCAATATGTACACAGATCATATTTATTTTGAAATATTTTTTGGTTGCTTTTAAATGTTATATCTCCTATGGTTTATGCTGATATGACATATTTATGTATCCTACCCAAATCTAAACATCGCAGACACTTATTTAGTGTTCATCTGAAACCAAGTCGATTGAGATGGAGTTAGCTAGCTGTTTTCTGCTGCAAGTTTGTTCTCTGCTTTGTATTCTATTAGCTTAAGCTAATTAGCCGAGCTGAAGTTATGGCTGGGAAGGGGCTGAAAGAGAAATATGGGGAAGGAGATGGCGGGAAGGGCAACAAGAGTCATTTTGACTGTTTACATTTCTCCGTTGCTTGGTCTTTAATGGTGAATAATTTTGCTCAGGCTCTTCCGAGCACATTGAAGGCGGTAAAAAGGCAGGATGAGAAGAAAAGTAATAAGGTTGTGGTCGGAACTAAGCAAATCGAATCAAACTGTAAAGTATCTCGTTATGAAGGGGCAAGTCATGAAGAAGGGAATAACTCATCACTTGAGGGGTTTATTGGGTTTATGTATGATCAGGTAGCTCAGAATCTTCAAAAAATTGACTCACACTTTCATGAGAAAGGATCGAATCAGCTTGATCATCTGAAGGTGCTTATTAATGTGTTTGAAGGGAAAAGAGCAGATTTCAATGGATTTTTAGGGAATTTGAAGTTTGCTAGAGTAGGAGGTTTGCCAACAAGTGTTGTTGGAGTCTCTCCTCACAACGAGGGGGAAGATGGTGCAGTCAATGGCGATGATCCCCATGTGGAAGGTGGAGGACAAAAACTGGCCAATGGATTGCTGAGCATTCCCTTATCGAATGTGGAACGGCTGAGGTCAACTTTGTCAACTGTTTCGTTGATGGAACTAGTTGAGCTGTTACCTCAGTTAGGACGACCTTCACAAGACCATCCTGATAAGAAGAAACTAATTTCTGTCCAGGACTTCTTCAGATACACCGAAGCTGAAGGTATATATGCATTTACTATACATAGCTTCAAGTGTTGTTCAACTTTTATTAATTTCAGTTGGTATTCTTGATTACAAGTTGTGGTTATTTTACTTATTGATCAGTCATCAAATACATATACGTTTTCAGCTTTTCACCAACTTACATATATATATATATATATATATATATATATATATATATATCTGCATCCACTCATTCTTGGCGTTCCCATAATATACTTATGAATCCTGTAGGAAGGAGGTTTTTTGAAGAGCTAGACGGTGATGGGGATGGCCAAGTGACTTTGGAAGATCTTGAGATCGCCATGAGAAAGAGAAAGCTGCCAAAAAGATATGCTCGCGAGTTTATGCGTCGTACAAGACGTCACTTGTTTTCGAAATCTTTTGGTTGGAAACAATTTTTATCTCTAATGGAGCAGAAGGAACCAACCATTCTAAGGGCTTATACCAGTCTTTGCCTGAGCAAGTCAGGGACACTTCAGAAAAGTGAGATATTGGCTTCACTGAAAAATGCAGGCCTGCCATCAAATGAAGACAATGCTGTTGCCATGATGCGCTTCCTTAATGCAGATACTGAGGAGTCCATTTCTTACGGGCATTTCCGGAATTTCATGCTTTTGCTTCCTTCAGACAGGCTACAAGAAGATCCTCGGTAAAATTCTATAGTACTAGTGGTCACATATCTGAATTATTTAAATGAAGGACTTTATTTTGATCTCAAAATGCCAGTAATCTACTATTGTTAAGCTATATGATCAACAGAGACATGCATTTGTAGCCTACTATACTTTGTTTGGGGATGAAATAGAAAAGAGAGAAATGGATTAGATTGTGAGAAAGAAGCTCATTTGTCTCTTACTTCTCTCCATGAGAGAGAAGAGATTAAATGAGATGCGACCCACCATTTTAATTTCTCTCCTCCCAATTTCTCTTCGTACCAAATGAGAGAAATGCTCAATGATCTCTTCTCTTGCATACTAAACGAGAAATACTTCTCTCCATAAGAAAGAAGAGATTGTATTCTTCATTTTGCGTCTTCTTTACCCTATTTTCCTAAGGTACTCCAATTATATTAAACACAGAAGTTTTGAAATTATACCATCGCATAACAACGGTAGTAAATCAGCAAGCAGAAGAAAGAAGATAACTAGTTCTTCTTCTAAAATGATGTGATGGAACATAACTGTTAGTTTCTTACTGTGCTAGGTTTTGATAGGCTGTGTTAAAGCTGTTTTTGAGTGTGTATATCTGCTGGGTATGCAGATTATATGTTACTTAACAGTGTATCATGTTGCACAGTTGCCTTGTTCTTTTCCAAGCTTATATTATATAAGCAGACCACTTGACTATTTGGGTCCACGGTTACTCTGGGAATTATTGTTTGGGTATACCATAACCTGTATGTGCTTTTTACTTGGTAAAGATTAAAGTTTGGCATGTCTTTTGTTCTTTAGTAATATATTTATATATTGGGATAGGATGAAAAGCAATGTGGCAGTACTCCAAAATAGGAATACTTCGATTTTCCTTTAAATAGTAAATAAGAGTAAACTACTGTCATATTACCATATTCTAGCATTATCATGAATTAAGATGGCACTATTGATGACATAATTGGATGTAGTCCAAGCATGCCACTAATTAAACATATTTAGTGGGGAACATAATATACTCCTATTTTGGAATAATATCACATTGGTTTTAATCCTATTTTGGGCAATTTATGTTATATATTTCATGTATGTTACATTTAAGTGAGACATGCTTTATTTATCTTATAATGATTTACTGATTGGTAGACTGTTAATTGTTTAATACGTAATCACAAAATTTTTACAGAAGCATCTGGTTTGAGGCTGCAACTGTAGTTGCTGTTCCGCCTCCTGTTGAGATACAGGCAGGAAGTGTCCTAAAATCTGCTTTGGCTGGTGGCCTTTCTTGTGCACTCTCTACCTCATTGTTGTATCCTGTTGATACAATCAAGGTACTCATTCATCCTGAAATCAGGAATTCAGGATTCAAATTGTCTATTACACCATCTGGAAACTTTCCTCTCCTGAGGATAGAATTTATGGAAAGAAAATAATTTATTGTCCTCTTCTATTTTCCTCTCATTTGAGATTGAAAGATAATGAGGGAGAGCTAGAGAAAAATTATTCTTTTTACTTTGAATTCTTATTTCTGGCGAAGATAAATACATGATTATGAGGTAAAAATAAGAAGTTTGGTATGGATAGTGAACTTTACATTTTCTCTCCAACTTGCAGGGAGAATGTCTTGAGGAAAATTCTGTATTTTTCATTCTTTATTTCTCTTCTTTCTGAAACAAGTGAAAAACAAAATTCACTCTTATTTTTTTGCCATGCTTTCTTTCATCTCATATGCTCTATCTTCCCGAGCAGAGTGTTAAAGTCTGCATCATGCTACCTGTGGTGAAGGAGTGTTTTTGGACATGAATCTCATGATATTTAGGGTTGTTTGGAACTCAGAAATACTAGGGAAATGAAATATGGATGATACTAGAGAGAGAAATGGAGGAACCGAAAATTTGGGGTGAAATAAAGGGTAGACTCAGGCTCTGTAAATTTATTTCAGACATCTTTTCAAATTAATGTAATTTATTTTTATCTATCATATAACTGCCAAAACAAATTGTCATATTCTGTTCTCCTTTGCATTTTCTAAAGTAAAGACATTCATTAGTAAAGAACTGTCCTTTCTCCTTACCTTGACATTTTTATGATCCAAACAAAAAGTGAAATTTGAAAATACTTTGTAATGGCTTCAACAATTAATTAAAGTTGTACTGCGTATGAGATAGGGCATTTGTTTTATAAGACATGCACCTTCCTCATTGTTTTTTTGTATTTCTGTAAACGTGGTTATCAGACAAGAGTACAAGCATCCAGCCTTACATTTCCCCAAATCATTTCAAAACTCCCTGATATTGGAGTGCAAGGATTATACCGAGGGTCTATTCCTGCAATTGTAGGACAGTTTTCGAGGTCAGCCATGATGTTCTAAATGATTATATATCTTTTGGGCAATGCTCATTTTTATGTTCAGCTCCTTTTAGATATATGCATGCATATTACATAGGTTATTCATGATTTTGATGTCTATTGCAGCCATGGATTGCGTACTGGAATTTTTGAAGTTAGCAAGCTTCTTTTGATAAAAGTGGCCCCCACACTTCCGGACCTACAGGTAAGGGATTTGACATTGCCATTGAATGAGGACACTAAGTAGTCCCAATATTGTGAATGAGAATACTTTCTACATTACTGTTGAATATGCTTTTCTATGTTACCAAGTGCTATTCAAAATCCGTTTCATACAATGATACAAATTTTCAAGAAATTTGGACACATTTAGAATTGTGTCTTTTGATCGGTTTCTTCTTCCAGATATTCACTGTTTTGCAATGTTAGATGGGGAAAAATATATACTGTCTCAACTAAATGTCAAAATGTAAATAACATTATCAATGTCTATTTCATCATTATCGTAGGAATTTGCTGACCTCTCCTCCCCCTTTTGATTAAAGATAATAATGCTTAATGTGCACACCACTGCTCAGGTTCAATCCGCAGCATCATTCTGCAGCACTTTTCTTGGGACAGCAGTGCGTATACCATGTGAAGTGTTGAAACAAAGGCTGCAAGCAGGCCTGTTTGACAATGTGGGGCACGCAATTGTAGGCACTTGGCAGCAAGATGGTCTGAGAGGCTTCTTTCGTGGGACTGGCGCCACTCTCTGCCGTGAAGTCCCATTTTATGTTGCCGGCATGGGCCTTTATGCTGAGTCAAAGAAGGTTTATTTTGTTTTCCTCAGGAAACTAATTGTTCATTGTTGAATATTTTGCTAATTTGTTCTTAGGATGTATTTGAAACTAGGAAAAAACTAGGGAATCGAAATACGAGAGGGAGTTAGAGAGAACAACATGGAAGTGAAGATAATGTGGGGGTATAAAAGATGAATGAAACTCGGTAATTTATTTTAGACATGTTCAAAATCATGTTAGTTTATACTTATTCATCATTTAAATACATACAAATATATAAGGGAAAATGGTCACATAGGCCCTCGAACTTACATAAAAAGGTCAAATAAGCCCTTATATAGGAGGCTCTGTCCGGCCATCGCCATTTGGGGCGGTTCCCGGTGGATTTTTTTGATGAATTTTTTTAACATCTTATTCATTAAGTCTTGTTTACACATACCAAATTTCAGCTAACAATTCAATCGGGAAGGCATTCAACTGAATTCTTGAAGATAACTGCGCTTTTAACTACACAGTTATCTTCAAGAATTCATTTGAATGCCGTCTCGATTGAAGTTTTAGCTGAAATTTGGTATGAGTACACTAGACTTAATGAATAAGATGCGCAAAAGATTTCATCAAAAAATTCCACCGGGAACCGCCCCAAATGGCTACGGCCGGATAGAGCCTCCTATATAAGGGCTTATTTGAATTTTTTATGTAAGTTCGAGAGCCTATCTGACCCTTTTCCCAATATATAAATACATGTAAAAAGATACAGAGTCTTGAATATCCATTTTATGTAAGAATTATTTTTTCCCATTTCCATTTTTCATGGCATTTTCCATTATCCAAACAAACCCTTAAGGAGAGTTTGGTTCATGAAGTGTAAGACTATCTTGATTAATGAGATTGCCTCCTGAAAGTTATCTTTTGAGAGTAATGCGAGATTACGAGAACCTAAGATTACTGGGATATTATTGACATTACATGAATGTAAAAGCGTGTTTGGTTACATGCTAAGAATGTATTTTTAATCTGTTTTAAACCTAAAACAGCAATACCTGATCTAAATGTAGAAAATGAAATGTTACAGACTGTGGTCCCTCCTAAGGAAAAAAATTGCCATGGAAGAGGATAAAATTAAAAACCAATGTAATCTCATGATGCTTAAAAGCTCCAATGTAATTGCATTACCTCTCACTTTACCTTAATTCACTATGTGACAATAGTATGAGATTACTCCAGTCATCTCAAAACTTGAAGCAAACCAGATAATCCCACATTACTATGTCTGAATATCTTAAACCAAACTAGGAGGTAATATGATACTCTGTATTATATTTTTATTACCTGGTAGTCTCAAGTTACTCGAACCAAAGGGGACCCTGTAGGGAATGTGTTCCATCCTTTTGTAGCATTTTGACGTATTTTGATCATGGTGATGATGTCAGGCTGTTCAGAAGGTATTAGGAAGAGAGCTAGAACCGTGGGAAACGATTGGAGTTGGGGCATTATCGGGCGGCCTTGCTGCGGTGGTGACAACACCGTTTGATGTGATGAAGACACGAATGATGACGGCCCCTCAAGGGAGGCCGTTGTCACTGTCGTTTGTGACTCTCTATATACTTCGCCATGAAGGAGTCTTGGGGCTGTTCAAGGGAGCTGTGCCGAGGTTCTTCTGGATTGCCCCCCTCGGTGCTATGAATTTTGCCGGCTACGAGCTTGCTAAGAAGGCTATGGACAAGGCTGCCGAGGATACCGGTGGTGAGCAGCAGCCTCAAGTTGTCATTTTGAAGAAGTAGTAGTATGCTTATTACGGAGCACTTTATATCTATTTATTTATCATCTTATGAAATTTTGCTTGTGTAATGCACAAAAGGAAACTGCTGAAAGGTTCCTCTTAAAAAAACAGCAGTCAATATCACATCATATATAGTTGGTTGGTGATGTGTTTATTGAAGTCTTTGATTCTCTGATGAAAGTTGCAATCTTTTTTGTAGCAATTGTAAATGACAACTGCCTGTGTAGAATGACCAGCCCCCACTTTACTCTTTTTCGTTGTATCTTTTGTTCGTTTTCTGTACAGTCTTTATTTCCTTATATATGAACTTTGTTATTGTAGCTTAAACCGATGCTGTTAATACCAAAGAATTATAATAGTAGTTGTGCTATTTTAAGAGCCTCAGAAGAGTACATCCAACCTTGGTATTTGGTAAAATGTCTGGCTAATTAAACCCCAACTAAAAAAAACACATGTCGTCATCAAACCGTTCTCTTGATTTTGTGCAGAGATAGTGGATATCATATCTTCTGTTTATTTGTTTTTAATTATAATGTGCTCACCAAATCCATATTTATTGTCTATGATGGATTGATGGATATACACGGCTGATGTAGTAACATGAACTTTTACGTAAATTAACTCGAATAGTGCTAAAGTAGTGTTGATTTTTTACGTCGCATGTCCTAGTTCCATTCTACGGATGGAGTGATAAGATACATTTAAAAGAAATAGTTATAATTATATTTATGTAAATAAATTTTATTTTGGTAATATTTTTGAAAAAACCCATTCAAAAGCGTAGTTGAAGGGAAAAGGGCATAAAAACCAACCAAGGACAACTATTTTTCCGAACACATGGCACATCAATGATAATTACAGGAGTCATTAGTTCTTTTTGTTGTTTTGTGTCTCATCGTTTGTAATAAATGTGGGAAAGGACAGTTTCTAGTACAAACATCATCAGTTTCTGAAGAGATGCCCTTCTAATGTTCTCATAGCAGTTGAGCATTGCATCAATAAACCATGTAAAGAAAACTGATTGGAGAATTATAACAAATTAGGATTCTCGAATGCAGAATATTATACGCCTACGGCCTGAGGGGGTGGGGGCTTAAAAAGGAACAAATCCATAAAAGACTTGTGCAGGGCCAGTCATATAAACATGGTTGTCATCCTGTTTCAAGGAAGAACCACCAATTAGATAGTAATGACTAATGAATGTGATGACCACCATAGTGAGCTAACCCAACTACTCCACTCTAAAATAAAGTCAAATACGTGTAATCAAAGCGCCTCATTAAGGAGATTAAGGCCAACAACCTTCCTTGGGCAAACGTTTCTACATCCTTCCTCTCGAATTCCCTACTGATTCTTGAACTTTGAACTTAGATATTAGTTATATTACTTCTCCTACCTCTAGGAGTGTAATATCCCTTAATATCTTTGATCTTAGCTCGCTTTTGAGGATCCTTCAGATGAAGATGGGTGATGAAAGAAAGCTATAGTAAACTCTCAATCAAAAGGCTCAATTAAGCCTATAGGATATCTTGAGCTACAAAGAACAGTTTGCTAAAATGCTACATAATCTTTCAATAGTTTCTAAGCTTCATTACAACTAATCAACTCCAGTTGACAAAGTCCAGAAACCAGATTACTTGGCTAGCTCTGAGGATTAGGTGAGATTTGTTCAATAAAAACAAATCATTATGGTAGAGATCGGTCTACGTTCCGGATAACAGAAGGAGACCGTTCAAAAGGAAGATTAGTTGTATTCAGAAATCATGCTACAAAGGCACCAGAAACTCTAGAAAGAAGAAAAGAAGAAGGATGATATCAGCAGGAAAGCAGCAAGCTGAAACTTTCAGTCAACTCAATCTGCAGAAAAACCAGTTGCCTGCATAAAAACGCCAAAGAGCCAGCTCCCAATTTTATTCAAGATTGGAACATCTCAAATGCTTCAAGACTGAGCTATCTGAATCTTATCTGGATATCAATGGATATAATCTTCATCAAGAATTACAGATATTGCTCAAACATTACAAAAGATATTTCCTGAAATACAATGAATATTAGTATTTGTCCGAATCAAGCCATGCGGAAAGAATTTATCTTGATTACATCAAAAACATGCTAACATTCGTCAATGTGTTACATTAATAAATCTAAGAGAAGAACAAGAAGTGAAACAAAAGGAATGTGTGGTTGCATGCAACATGCTCGACATATAATGATCAGCCAGCTGACTTAGCCAATAGGGTAAGCGTATTTAATTAAGTGAGTTTGTCTAACCATTTTTTGCTCAATTACCTAAATTGGGTTTTACTCTCGAAAAAAAGCCAAGCCGCCGATCATTTATTACGTTGCAACCTTTTAAATTATCCACCAACGGTAACTAATTAAGGTCACCACAACTAGAGAGAGGTATAAAATCACTCTTCACTCAGAAGAAATTACCTCACCATACTCTTCACTCAAGCTTCATCTCTCAAAGCTTCTTCCAACATTCTTCAAAAATCAAACATCACCATCTTCATAGATGGAACGATCAACATTCTCATCCAATCATATCTCTCTCGAACCTCAACTGGCACCACCTTCGACTCAAGAAATCAATCTTTCAGCTCTTGAGTCACTTATCATTTTCGAAAAAGAGAAGGCAACTTTGCTGCAAGAGCGTGAAACAATACTTGCTTGGAGAACATGGAGGCTATCTTCTATCAATCATCTTCTCCTTAATGCATCTAATATGATACAGGAAGAAGCGTTTGCTCTTGGATGGCTTAAAACGAAACAAGTTGAAGCAGCAATGTCACTTGGTTACATCAACCGAATTTACCATGCTAAACTCCAAAATCTTAATCAAGCAGATAACCAAAGAAGAAAAGGAGCAACCAACTTCCTCCCTGGCGAGCCATCTGGCAGAAGAGCACCCTGAGAAGGTGTTTGTTGCTGCCAAAAAGGGGAAAATAAAATCAAACAACCTTGTACTTTAAACGATGTTTTTGCTCTTTATAGGTAGTTTTGATTCTAGTTTTTGGCATCATCAAAAAGGGGGAAATTGTTAGGTCCCCTAGATTTTGATGATTAATATATACTATCGTATGTAGTTTTGATGATGCCAAACTCCTTTTTGTTATCCCTTTATTAGACTAGATCTTTTTTTTATGTTCTACTATGTTTATTGTAAAAGAAAGTACTCAAGAAAAACAAAAGATTACTCAAAAGAGATGAAACATACCAAAAACAAAGAGAAAAGAATAAAAAATAAAAGGCACAGAAAGAGTTACCTGGAACCCTTTATGAAATCGACAGCCATCTAGAAAAACCAAAGCAATAACCTACTGAAAACATTTCAGTCGGCTCCTACCTCAGTTTCCCAGGTGAGGGCCGTGAGGCGACCAAAATCCACTACCTTCTCTATAGCAAAAAAAAAAAAAAAAACAACTTGCAGTCAAAATGACAAAAAGATAGAAAGTAAGTTTATAAGAAATTTTTACCACCTAATGAAAATTTCTTATAAATTTATTTTACTAAAAGCAAGTGATTTTATTATAAGGAATCATTGAATATAAAGAAGACAAAGACCAACCATGCTCTCCTCAGTCAAATGGAACAAAACAAGTAGATCAAGCAACGGTCAAGATTGAACTCCTTAGCCAACGGTCGAGCTTCAACAACAAAGTCTATAAATACAGAAGGAGTGCGGGTAAAACCAGTGGAGAAGCTAAGTGGAATAGAAGGGAGTCAAGAGCCACTCGAACACATCCAGCAAATACAAGTGTTGATTCCTCTTCACCACTTTGGTTTCCACCCCACTCATCTAATGCTCTTAGACTAGCTCAAATTCATACAAATCTATAGAACTTAGATTAATTGGTAGTTTAGTTTTCACTCATGTAAACTAGACTAGTGTTAGACATTCTAGAGGGCTTTGTGTTCAGATCCAGAAGGTGAGAATGATATAAGGACATGAGTAGCTTCTGGCAAGTCAATGTCATTAGTGAAAAACCTTGGAGGACTGAGTAGCTTGGAATGGTGCTCAAATTCCTTGTGAAAAATCTCACAATCTATGCCTGTGCCAAGGATAGATTGGGTACTAAATGTAATGACATATTCATTTTGTGAAAATCCATCTGAAATAGGTTGGGACTATATGTAGGAAGATTACACCACCTCTGAACCAAGATATATCTTGTGTCACCTTTTATATTCAGCTCCCAATACACACTACATTTCTCACTCACCTTCACAACTTCCCAGAAAAACATCTTGCTCATTTCATTGTCCAGAAAACTGTCCAGTTTTCTAAGAACCAAACTCCTTGCTTCTATGCATCAAAGTGATCTATCTTTATACGTCTAAATCCTTTATACTCATGTGTTAAGCCTGTTCTAAAAGCCCATCAATGTGTTAGATTATAGTTCATTGTTGTATCTTAAAGCAGTAGTCTCATTCGGCAGCCTGCTCCTAAATAGTTCAGCTACCAGCTCCCAGTAATCTGGCAGTTTGTTCCTTCAGATTTCGGCAGCCTACTCCATGAGTCAGCTGATTTTGGCAAACACATTTGTAGCTTGTTTAATCCATCTCTTTCACAACTAAAAGGGTCATAAACTCTGTTACTATAAAGTGTCACACTATTGAGGTCAAGACTTCCACTGTAGGTTTCAATATCTCTCAAAAGATATTGGAACTCATACTGTTAGAGGAAAATGGGCTGAAAAATGAAAAGATTTTAAAAGTCTATCCCTTCCCCCTAGACTTTTACCTCACTTGGGACCATCATATACGTATATTAAGTGACTAGTTATGTAACGTGCGTTGCGCTATAAGAAAATGCCCAATATAATTTTTCACTGTGTTAGTACGATAGTATAAGCTATGTTGTTTGATGGTAAAACCAATTTAATTATACAAGATTGCATACAATAACTTTGTTAGAAATAAACATTATTTTTAATATAATAAAAAAAATGGATGTATGCATTAACACACAGTTGAGTTACACCAACCGGCCGTATTTTCAAATATCATTTATTTGATTTGATAGTTTGATATTATTTGTTGATGTATTAAATTACTGAATTTCTTGTCGAAAAGTGACTCCATATTATTTTTGTTCTATATACAAATAGTTGGTATTGTTTACAATTATTTTCCCAATTATTATTATTAAAAATAATTGAATTAATTATCGATAGGGAGAAATAAACTTTAATTTTGGTTGACAAAAAAATTTTGGTATTGCAAATCAATTTGGGACAGAAGAAGTAAAAGGTTAAATATAAGAGCACCTTATAAGAGATTTATTACTGAATTAGTAAAATATGAGAAAATTTGAAATCTTAA